CTGCTATCCTACTCTGTTTTACTCTCAATTCTTTAAATAACTCTACCATACACTTTACCAGGCATACTCAACAGACTTATTTAGCTATAATTTTTGCACTCTTTTATCCCCTTTGCCTTTATATTAAGGAACTATGCATGCTCTCTGCCAGTCCCTAGGTACCTTAACCTCTTCCATACATTTATTAAATAAAAGCACCAACCACTCCAACACTATATCCCCACCTGCTTTTAACATTTCTATCTTTATCCCATCAATCCCGGCTGCCTTACCCCACACTCACAACTCGCTCCTCCTCACTCCTACAAGAGGTTTTTCCTCCTTGCTCTTTTACACAAAATCACAGCTTCCCTATCTTTATCAACATTTAACAGTTCCTCAAAATGTTCCATCCATCTTCCCGATACGTGTGTGTGTGTGTGTGTGTGTTAGGTAAGGTTTGTCAGAAAACAGGACAAGTGTCACCTGACGCGGGTCTTAGTCACAGCATGACTCGCAGCTGAAGCCCTTTATCTGACCGAGGCCTTCCGCTAGTTCTGTGTACTCCTGTGTATGTACTCACCTAGTTGTGGTTGCAGGGGTCGATCATAGCTTCTGGCCCCGCCTCTTCACTGGCCGCTACTGGGTCACTCCCTGCAGCATGAGTTTTATCATACCTCTGCTTAAAGCTATGAATGGATCCTGCCTCCACTACATCGCTTCCCAAACTATTTCACTTCCTGACTACTGTGACTGAAGAAATACTTCCTAACATCCCTGTGATTCATGTGTGTCTTCAACTTTCAATTGTGTTCCCTTGTTGCTGTGTCCCATCTCTGGGATATTCCGTCTGTCCACCTTGTCAATTCTTTTCAGTATTTTATATGTCGTTATCATGTCCCCCCTCTCTCTCCTGTCCTCCAGTGTCATCAGGTCGATTTCCCTTAACCTCTCGTCGTAGGACATACCCCTTAGTTCTGGGACTAGTCTTGTTGCAAACCTTTGCACTTTCTCTAGTTTCTTTACTTGCTTAGCTAGATGTTGGTTCCAAACTGGTGCCTCATACTCCAATATGGGCCTAACGTACACAGTGTACAGGGTCCTGAACGATTCCTTATTAAGATGGCGGAATGCTGTTCTTGGGTTTGCTAGCTGCCCATATGCTGCAGCAGTTATTTGGTTGATGTGCGCCTGAGATCTTTTTCCTTGAGTGAGGTTTGTAATCTCTGGCCCCCTAGACTGTACTCAGTCTGCAGTCTTCTTTGCCCTTCCCCAATCTTCATGACTTTGCACTTGGTGGGGTTGAACTCCAGGAGCCAGTTGCTGGACCAGGCCTGCAGCCTGTCCAGATCCCTTTGTAGTTCTGCCTGGTCCTCGTCCGATTGAATACTTCTCATCAACTTCACATCATCTACAAACAGGGACACTTCGGAGTCTATTCCTTCCATCTTGTTCACAAATACCAGAAACAGCACCGGTCCTAGGACTGACCCCTGTCGAACCCCACTCGTCACAGGCGCCCACTTTGACACCTCACCTCGTACCATGACTTGCTGCTGTCTTCCTGACAGGTATTCCCTGATCCTTTGTAGTGCCTTCCCTGTTATCCCTGCCTGATCCTCCAGTTTTTGTACTAATCTCTTGTGTGGAACTGTCAAACGCCGCCTTACAGCCCAAGAAAATGCAATCTACCCACTCTCCTCTCTTTTGTCTTACTGCTGTCACCCTGTCATAGAACTCCAGTAGGTTTGTGACACAGGATTTCCCATCTCTGAAACAGTGTTGGCTGTTGTTGATGGGCTCATTTCTCTCTAGGTGTTCCACCACTCTTCTGATAATCTTCTCCATGACTTTGCATACTATACATGTCAGTAACACTAGTCCATAGTTTAGTGCTTCACGTCTGTCTCCTTTTTTAAAAATTGGGATTACATTTGCTGTCTTCCATACCTCAGGTAACCTCCCTGTTTCAATAGATGTGTTGAATATTGTTGTTAGGGGTACATATAACGCCTCTGCACCCTCTCTCAGGACCCATGGAGAGAGGTTATCTGGCTCCATCGCCTTTGAGGTATCTAGCTCGCTCAGCAGCCTCTTCACTTCCTCAGTTGTATGTATTGTGTCCAACACTTGGTGGTGTACCCCACCTCTCCGCCTTTCTGGAGTCCCTTCTGTCTCCTCTGTGAACACTTTGAATCTCATGTTGAGTTCCTCACATCTCGATCGTTTCTTGTGATCTCTCCTCCTTCCTTAGCCTGATTACCTGGTCCTTGACTGTTGTTTTCCTCCTGATGTGGCTGTATAACAGCTTCGGGTCAGATTTGGCTTTCGCTGCTATGTCATTTTCATATTGTTGTTGGGCCTCCCTTCTTACCTGTGCATATTCATTTCTGGCTCTGCAACTGCTCTCCTTATTCTCCTGGCTCCTTTGCATTTTATACTTCTTCCATTCCCTAGCACTCTTGGTTTTGGCCTTCCTGCACCTTTGTGCGAACCACAGGCTCATCCTGGCTTTTTCATTATTCCTGTTACCCTTGGTTACAAACCTCTCCTCAGCTTACTTGAATATTGTTGTCACGTATTCCATCTCTTTTACTGACTTCCTGCCAGTTCTGTCCCGCTGAACCTTCTTCTTCTTATGACCAGAGCTTTGGTAAGATGGGTAAGGAAGAAGGATGGGTAAGGATAGAAATTTTGGAAAAGGGTGGGAGGGGAGAGAGAGGTAGGATATAAAAGGTAAGTGGCCCAACCACTTTGGTGTAATTTAAAAAGTATATGTGAGATAAGATATTCTTGAATGAGTATAATACTAATCCAACAGTCACATAGATATAACAGATATATAAGTACATGACTCTGAATCCCACTGAACCCCGTTCAGAAAGTTGTTCTTACCCGCGTAGTGCCCCTTCTTGTAGTTTTGCTTCATTCCTCCGGCTCTTCCTGCTTCTCCCTCCACTTGTAACTTCTGTGTATTCGAATCTTAAAACCACATGATTGCTGGCCCCAAGGGGTCTTTCATATGTGATGTCCTCAATATCTGCACTTCTCAAGGTGAATACTAGGTCCAGTCTCGCTGGTTCATCCTCTCCTCTCCTCTCTCTGGTAGTGTCTCTTACGTGTTGGTACATGAAGTTTTCCCGTACCACCTCTATCATCTTAGCCCTCCACGTTTCTTGGCCCCCATGTAGCTCCAAGTTCTCCCATGATCCGTGGCTTTGCCCTGCTAGCGTGAGCCCTTCTTGCCACTTCAGCCAGTGTGTCAACCATCGCTCAATTACTCTTGCCTTGGCCTCCTGCTGTTCTGTGGTGGGTTATATATCACTGCAATTACCACCTTGGGACCTCCAGACTGAAACGTTCCTACTATGTAATCCCTTGCTTCTCCACTGTCTCCTCTCTCCAACTCATCAAAATCCCATCAGTTCTTGACCAGCAGTGCCACTCCTCCACCCTCTCTGTTCCCTCTGTCTTTCCTCAGGATCTGATATGTACTGTGTTGAATATTGTGTGTTAGGCACACACTTCTGTGTGTGTGCCTATGTGCTCCTGTGTGTGTGTGTGTGTAACCCTCGCTATCGTGAGGTAGAGTGTTAAGGTTAATATTTTTAAGCACGTGTGTAATAGTTTTAAAAGTATCAACTGGTATTGGCTGTTTTTTAACAGATACCATTAAAATGGCCGATACCCACCGATACTGATATTTCGGCACATCCAGCACACATACACTCGCCTAATTGTGGTTGCAAGGGTCGAAATGTAGGTCCTGGCCCCTCTTCACTGGTCACTACTAATGTGAGCATTTTAGATAGCAAGTGGAGGCATTGGGTTTTTGGGACCTGACGAGCTGTTGGAGTGTGAACAAGGTAACATTTTGCGAATGGGTTCAGGGACACGGTTACCCAGACTTGAATCCTGGAGGTGTGAAGTACAGTGTATGCATTCTAAAGAAGTGGTTGGGATATTTCCTGTTTGGAAGGACATCTACACTGTCGTATGTATGCACTGGCAAGACGGTAATAGTGTGAATGATGGTGAAAGTGTTTCTTTTTCAGGTCACCCTGCCTCAGTGGGAGAGTGCTATTGT